TCACAATTTATCATTCAAGATCTTTTATTCAGGAACTTTCTTAAACAAATTTCATTCAAGAGCTTTCCTGTAGCAGCCTCTACTCAAGAACTACAGGATTAAAGAAATAATGTTAAGGCACACTTATTCAATCGCTCTGCCAAAAAAAGCATTCTTCGAGAGGGCTTCTTTACGAACTTTGCTCGAAGTCTCTCATTCTCCACCAACTCTTATGCACAATCTCCCAGTCAAGATGCCTGCAAGGGGGGCGGGCGGAGAGGTCAATTCAGAACTCACCGATTGGCGGCTGTGTCGCGACCCGCGGCGAGACGGACTCGGACCTGGGCCGAAGCGTGCAACGCGTGGCCGCGTCGTCGTGGCCGACTGGCGGCGTCGAGTCGCTGGGCTGCCGCGTCGCCGACTTCGCAGCAGGCCGGGCCGTGGTTGTCGTGGCGTCGAGGCCGAACTTTCGGTCTCCAGGGCAGTCGGTCGGCCTGGCGAGGTCGCCCGGCTGGCCGGCGCAGAGGGCCGAGGCCGTCGCGGCATCACGTGACGTGGCCGCGTCTGCGAGACGAAGGAAGGTCGGGTGCGAAGCCAAAAGCAGCTGAAGAGTGCCGGACATGAGGTCCTCTGATCCAGTCTCCCGGTGGGCATATGATGACGTCAACCTGACGTCGGTTTCGATTCGCCCCTCTTGCGAGTGTGCGATGCGTGCGTGCGTGCGTGCGTGATTGTAATGTGTTGTGGCGGCAGTTGCTGGTTCGCGGTGTGGCCCCGGTGGTCGGAGGAGAGGCGGAGTCGCGGCGTCCCGGCAGGCACAAGTGCTTTTTTTTGCCGAGCCAATGGGCTTCAGGCGCTGGCGTCCGGAGGACTGCGTGGGCGGGCAGTCGAAGGGTGGGGTCGACGGGACGGCCTAAGGTAGGGCAGGCGAACGGGCTTCCTGCAGCCGGTCTAGCCGCCGGCGTCCAGCTATCGAGGCCTGCCGCGTGCGCGTGCGTGAGACAGACAGAGGGAAAGAGAGAGAGATCGCCTGGCACGGATGAGGCGGGCGAGAGAGAAAGGGCTACGGTGACGCACGTGCGGTTGGCCTGTTCGCATGCGCAGCTTTCGCAGCCTTTCTCACCTCGCCTCCTGCCTGTCG